CAGAGGGCTGAGCTGATTGCTTTGACCAAGGCTCTGGAATTGGGAAAAGGAAAAAGGATAAATATATTCACTGATAGCCATTATGCTTTTGCCACCACCCATGTACATGGGGAGATTTATCAAAATAGAGGACTGTTGACCTCTGAAGGAAAGGAAATCAAAAATAAGACTGAGATATTGGCATTGCTACAAGCAATCTGGTTGCCTCATCCATTGCCACGGGCACCAGAAGGGGCTTAGCCCTGAGATGATTGGTAATAATGCTGCTGACCAGGCAGCAAAACAAGCCGCCCAAAAATCAGTGAGGAAGCAAATGGTTCTGCTTCCCATGCTGGTACTCCCAGAAAAACCTGAATACACAGATAAAGAAGTAGCAGAAATGAACAGGAGACGCTGGACTCGAGGAAAGCATGGATGGTGGACGACTAAGGATGGAAAGGTGGTGCTCCCAGCTGCTGTAGCAGATATGTTGCTGAGAGAACTATGCGAGAAAAGGATGATGGCTGCCCTGCAACCTCATTTCGTCAGCGAGGGATTAGCCCAAAAGGCCCAGGACATGGTGAGACGATGCCCCACCTGCCTCAAGGTAAATGCAAATCGGGTAACCTGGCCCCCCAGGGTCCAACACAGAGGATTAACTCCAGGAGAACATTGGGAATTGGACTTTACTGAAATGAAGCCTGGCATGTATGAGTAAAAATACCTGCTAGTTTTTGTGGATACATTTTCAGGATGGGTAGAAGCATACCCCATTAAGAGGGAGGCAGCTGAAGTAACAGTTAAAAAGCTTCTGACAGAAATAGTTCCCCGTTTTGGTTTGCCCTTAGCTCTGGGGTCCGACAATGGTCCAGCCTTCATGGCCAAGATATCTAAATTAATTAGTAATATCCTTGGAATAAAGTGGGATCTACACTGTGCCTATAGGCCTCAAAGTTCAGGACAGGTAGAAAGAACAAATCAAACTTTAAAGGAAATTCTGACTAAATTATGCTTGGAGACTGAACTAGGTTGGGTAGAGCTTCTCCCTTTTGCCCTCCTCCGAACGAGGTGCATTCCCAAGCCTCCCCTCAAT